TCCTCCAGCTGCCTCAGCAGAGCGTTCCTCTTCTCCTGCTGCAGGATCCTGTCATGTGCAAAGCAGAGTGCACATCTAGTCTTCTTCGCCTCCTTCGGACCAACGAGATCAACGCGTGAAAAAAATAAAAAAAGCCCTCTGCTCACCTCTGATTGGCTCCTTGGCTCTGGGAGCCGTGGGCCCGCTGCACCTCCTCCTCCACCCGGCAGCGCTCCTCCTCCAGCTGCAGCAGCGTCTCCTCGGAGTGCCGCTGCTTCCCCACCAGGACCAGCTCCTGCAGGAGCGCCTCCTTCTCACGCAGGAGCTGCATGAAGTCCCGGTCCCGGTCCGCCTCGGCCCGGCCCGACCAGCTCTCGCTGTCCAGCTGCGCCAGCTGGTGCTGAACGCTCTGCACCCTGTGGGGGGGCGGCACGTTCAGTCGCTCATAAGTCTTGATAGATTAAACACCAGCGTAATGACACAGTGACTGTGGCTACTGGAGCAATCGTCTTCGTCTTCATCATCATCATCATGGCACTTACAGCTGGGGGGTGAAAATAACCTCAGAACTTCATAAGCAAAACTGTAGATTTCAGCCTCAGATATTTAACCCCGCGTTGTGTGTGTGTGTGCGCGTGTGTTTTTGTGCGTTTTAAACCAGCTTGTGGAGGAGCAAGGCGCCCCCCCCCACACACACACACACACACACACACACGCACGCACACACACAAAGGCAGCACACAGTCAGCAGCAGAATGTGACCACCCAGCTCATTCCGCTGGCCAGACATCGCTCAGCGGCTCGCGGCGCAAACACTTACTCCCAAGGCCCCGCCCCCCTCCGGGAACGGGCCTTCCCTCATGGTGGCCTTCTCCACCTGCGGGAAGAAAAGACAATCACGGTGCTACGACAAACGCAGACGCACTTACTTCTTCTTGGCTTCTTCGTACTGCCAGTTGACTTTGACTTTGTCCACCAAGTGCGAGGAATCTTGGTACTGAAAGAGGAAAGAAAGAGGAATTAATTCATTATTAAAAACAGCCTCTGAAGTTCCATCATATATATATATTATATATATATATCTGTTCTTTGAGATTGATGGAAGGAGGTCTAGCGCCATCCTGCAGAATATCTGGTCATCAATTGAGCAGCTGACTGGTTTGCTATTTTTTTTTGATTCCTTGCTTTCTCTTTTTCTCTAAACCAATGAAGCAGATTTTGATTCTGATGATTTCTAAAGGGAATCTGTTACGCTGCAAAACGTTAATGTTTTGAACTGTACTTTTCCGTCCACGATCTTCCCCATTTTGTAAAAAGAATCAAATCAGAGTAGAAAAGGTTCCTCTGTGGCCCAGTCTTTGATTACTAGATTTAAAATGTGTTGTTCATTTTGACCTGTATGGACCCCCACCGCCCCCCCCCCACCTCTCCCATGATGTCGGTCTGAGAGCCGGTGTCACAGTACTGCTGCAGGTAGCACGTGTCCCCGGGGGGTCCGGGGGCCTCGCCGGCAGGCTCGTGGACAGACGAGCTGTTCTGGCAGTTAACCGTCAGCTTCGCCAGGCTCTGCCAAGGGAGGGAGGGAGTGGGGGGGGGGTTAAAAACAGAACAATAAAATATCTGACGTCACACACACAAAAAAGCGCATTTTAACTGGACGAAAAGTGCGTGTGTTCATAACTATTTGGTGACATCACCAGGAAACGCCAACGATACGCCGCTGACTCGGCCTCTGGGAGACGTGCAGAGGAGAACGGGGGAGGAGGGGGAGGAGGGGGGTACCTGGATGAGGTCCTGCCTCTCCTTCTCGCCCGTGCTGATGGACTTCTTGATGCTGCGCAGCTCGCTGAAGATGGCCTGAGCCTCGTCCAGCTTGTAGTTGGTCTGACTGCAGGACATCTTCCTGTCGATCCTGAGACACCAAGACACCCGTCAGGACACTTCCCCTCTGTGTTAGCATCCACGTTAGCGTTAGCATCGGCCCCATAAACACAACGAATGAGATGTTTATCAAATCATTAAAAAAAAAAAAATGTATCAGAGAGTTAAATAATCTAAATGAGTTTAAAAATAAATCGTTTCAAGCTTCTATAAAAGGTCAAAAATAGAAATGATTTAATTATTTTGACAAACTTGGTATTAGCAAAACTTTTCAGATAATTTATAAGCAGAACAGAACTTCACACTATTCTATTCATATATCAAAAGAATAAGCGGACCTTTAACGTTAGACGTAAAAAGTAAATATGTGAAGGAGAAATAAGAGCAGTGATGAAACACGTGCCAGAGCACAGAAACATGATCACATTGTGTCAATGGGGGCTTTGTTGAATGTTATGTATTGATTTCCTCAGGAAAAAGAGGAATTACTGATAATAATTCTGGAGGAAACCAAAACAAACCAAAGAGTCTCGTCTTAATGCTACAATGTGCCTTCAGTGGCCCAATCAGCCGCATCGCTCACTGCTTTACTTTGGATATCAGGTCAGCGGAAATTAACAAGTAAAAATTAAATCATCAGATGAACATCTGAAATATTTTTGTTTGGGAGGTGACGTTTGAGCGTTTATTTTAGACTGTGGTCAGTAATGAAATACTGACGATGCATGTGACGGGTCGGTGTAAATGATGACGAGAGTCGACACCCAAACTAATCTCGCTCGTGTAGAATTTATATATATATATATATATATATATATATATTCTCCACAAATACACCAGACTCCATTCACAAAAACAGAGGTTTTATCTCTCAGAGGACGGGAGGTGTTAGTGTGCAGGTCCTCCTCCTCTGAAGTACAACTATGGAGAAGAACCTCACTGCTGTCACTTTAACATCTCTATGTATTCAGTCGGCCAGAGGAGCCCCCCCCCCCCCTCACTGTAGAAAATAGCAGTTTTGTGTTGCACCCTCTTGGTTACAACAATGAAGACGATAACGGTTATCTTGAACTGTCTTTTCTTTAAAGAAAAGCGGGATGTAGATTCTCAAAGAACAACCACATCCCGATTAGGTCATCGGACTTTATGCAACTCAGGGGATACAACACGACTCTTCTGTTAACTCTAGAAACAAAAGGTGGCAAAGAAGAAAAAGTTTGAGACACATTTCGGAGCGCTGCAG